CATCTATCTATCTATCTATCTATCTGTCTATCTATCTGTCTATCTATCTATCTATCTGTCTGTCTGTCTGTCTGTCTGTCTGTCTGTCTGTCTGTCATCTATGTACATATATCATGTTGATTCAGAAGTGTAACGGCTGACAGTCTATTTGCCCTGAGGATTGAACTTGTGTAATTTATATATTATGATTAGTTGAAATGTTACAAAGCAAGTTGCTCCTTCGCCCACATTGCATCTTGTATTTAACAAGTTATTTTAGATATAGAAACACAATCTTTCCCCTCTGGTTGGAAAGAACTGCAGTACATTTTTAGACATTGTGATCATCACTGTAATGGTTTTTGTTTACATACTTGTTTATTTTCTCCTTCTGTATCTGTTCTTCCATTTAGCTGTAACTTTATTGTATAGTATTGTTCCTTTTCACCTGGGCCCAGGAGCTCATGTTTTCACCTCTGTCCATTTGTCTGATGGTTTGTATGTAAGCACGATTACACAAACATCTGGATGGATTACCACACAACTGGATGGAAGGGTGTGGTATGGACCAGGGACGAACCTGGTAAATGTTGGTGCAGGTCCTGACAGCTCCAGCATTATTTTCCACTTTCATTAACATTACCATTATTTTTGTCCACATGAGTACAATAATTTCTTATTGCGTACCGCCACCTCCTGGCGAGTCAAGGTACACACATGAGCACACTGCTCCCATGAAGCATTGCCTGAACACAGGAGATCTGGTCTATTCAACACTTAATGGATGACAGAGGCAATATTTTTGACTACAGTGAATTTAATGGTAAATACAATCTAAGATGCTCTAACAGAGAATATTGTGCTGTGATGAAAAAGACTCCTCCTGCTCTGAGTCATCTGATTAAAGGGATAGTTCACCCCCAAATTAAAATTCACTCATTATCTACTACCACATGATTAAGGTGATTTTCAAACATCTTTCTGCGTCACTAATTGATAATTTGAACTATATATACTGTGTGTTTGTGCTGCTGTGCTCTTGTACTATCTGACACAGAAACTATTTGGGAAAAAAAAGACATTTATTGCTACATTATCATTTGACACATGCCTGTAGGCTACTTCAAACTGTACACACTGTACATGTTATGATAGTATTTCAGATTATTCTTGATTATTATTCATTACCTGTTTGGGCAGTGTGATAAGCAAACAAGACATCAGTTATTCTGTAACACTGTATTGCTCAGAGCATGAAACGTGGCTACATCTAAAAAAAACTGCACAAAAGTGTTTCTTTGTAAAATCAGAATGAAAAAAAGCAAATAGAGACATTAACAAATTCACAAGATCTGTATAAAAGATAACTTACATAACTTAGAAAAAACAAAATGTCCTATTTAAAAACTCAAACATGCAAAGAGCTTTGACTACATGTGACGAGCAGTGATTACACTCAGAAGAAGGATTGTCCACCAGTGTTTCAGCGAGTGTATCCTTGTAACAGTGCTACAGCACAAATTCATAACAAATATACAAGTAACAGATGACGCCTGCACGTTAAAGAACATTCTCGGAGATCTGTTCATTCACAGAATGTTCAAACTCCCACAAAAAACACTCTCACGCTGGCACACACACAGACCACAGGACAAATGAAATCCGTCGCCTGAACACACTGTGGTATCGTCGGTCCTCTGAGCTCGGTGGAAATCTCGAGTGTCTGTGGTAAATAGTGATGCACTGTAAAAGTCAAGACTGCAGGTCACATGTCGCTACCAGGTCTCATCTATTCAGATATAATCAAACGTAGAGGATAATCAATAAATATACAAAATATGTACAAAAAAACATCTGCAGCTTACAATGCATTTGTCTGTTACGTCTAAAGTTTAGGCACAAAGTTAAAAGTCCTTTTGGGGGAAGTGAGGAGATGATTGTTCGACTGCATCACACTTTACAATCAGAGAGGTCGACCTCTCCACTCTGGAACGCTGGATGCTCCCGAGATGATCTTTAGTCAACATCTGAAAATCAAAGACACGGAGACATTAAAGGGACGATAATGAGTTTTAGTTCAAATATGCTTCATATCCAAATATCCTTGAATTTCTATATATATATAAAAGTAGCGATATTATGGTTTGGAAGAACATTTAAAAAAAGAAACATTATTTTCTTATACTATGAAAAATCGTCTACTGTATATGATTGTAATTGACCACAAATATTAAAGTGTATAATTGAATGTTAAATACTTGATGTTGGACGTGATGCTCAGAGATGGCCCATGGGGTTTGCTTGGTCAGTCAGACTGGGGTGAAAAGCGAGATGCATGGACTGCGGATCTGTCATGGACGCCTTCTCTTCCTCTCTCCTCCGCAGACACGCCGCCTTCGGGTTCAGGTTCCTCTCTGTGGGATTCAACAAACAACAGGGTTAGAATTTGAATTCTAAATTTAGAATTTTCAATTAGGTTTAATGAGGATATCGTTCATTTCCATCGCCCGTGTAATGCACACCCAAATACTTGAATTGAGGGGAAACTACTGGAATGTTGTCTCAGCTATTCTCCCTCTTTACTTTCACCCTCTCCTTTACTTTTCACCATCTCATAATAGAAGGACATGTAGCCTCTCCTGCCTCCTCCCCCTCCTGCAGCAGCAATGCACTGACCTCTGACCTGTTGCTCCAGGCTCAGGATCACCGACACGGCCTGGTGCAGCACCAGCAGTTTGGTCTGCGGCTTCTCGCTCTTCAGGTGCAGCTGACACATGTGCCCCAGCTCCTTGAAGGCCTCGTTGATGTCCCGCACGCGCAGACGTTCGCGGGCGTTGTTGGCCATCCTCCTCTCGCGCTCACGTTCGACCTTCTGCTCCGGGCTCAGGTCCTCATCCTCGTGAATACTACGACAGGTACAAGAACAATACAGAGTGTGAAAAACTCCATAAGTAGATCAAAGTGAAGTGTGTTAAGTTTAATGGTGGATTTCTCTGGCAGAGGGACCCCTCACATGTGGCTCTCTCTAAGGTTTCTATGTTTTTTCCTCTGTTAATAGTTTTTTTGGGTCGTTTTCTCTCTTGTTGAAGGACAGAGGATGTCACATCTTGTTAAGCCCCATGAGACAAATTGTGGTTTGTGAATATGGGCTATACAAATAAAATGTGATTGATTCGATTGATTGATATTTTCAAATAAATCTTTTGGTTTCAGTAGAAAATATAAAACAAACAATGTTAAATAAAAGCAATTGTTGCTGGAGGTCATTCACATATGCCAGCATTGATATCCCTCAACTAGATTATAGATCTAAATAAAAAGACAGCATGCACTCAGACATCAGAGCTGATGTCATGACGAGGTTCGTCCTGATGTGACCTCTGAGACTTGAGACATCTGGAGGTTCAGTCTGTGACAATCTGTGATTTTCAAAATGTGCATTCTGGGTTTAAATCAGACCGACTTGTTCTACTGGATCATTTAAAACCAAAACCATGTTAATCAATCTAAAACACCATCAATCATCCACAGTGATCATGTCTGATGTCACAATTCATTCAGTCAATTCATCAGGAAAAATGAAATTGATCTTTAATATTTTATTTAATTTATCAAATAAAAAAAAAAATTTAAAAAAAACATTGCCTGGTTCCAGACTCTGAAAGACAATAAAAGTCGTATTGAATTTTATTTCAGCTTTATATCTTTATATATTTTTATTCTTCTAAACTAAGAACTCATTAATTATTACCCATAAAGAAAATAATCAGCAGCAGGAGTTAAAAAGAATCTAAATGCAGCAAAAACTGCAAACTCTTCATTTTGACTGAGGACAGTGAAGTACAATGTAAAGCGGTGTAGCCTCTAATGTATAATGCAGTATAATGCAAAGCAGCCTGTGCTGTGATGTCTTTACTATTAACTGTATGTCCGAGCAGCTGCTCTTATCCCTCTTTTTCTTTCATCTGTTAATTTACTGCAACTTCAAGCGACATGAAGAAGAAATATGAGGCAGAGCTAAATAGACCGGCGTGGACACAGCTGCCCTTCACACCGGGGGGTCTGACAGTACTTAAAGAGAGTGAAACTGAACGGCAAGCAGGCACTAATACTTGCCTTACAGTGAGAGACTCTTCATTTTAAAACGGTTGTGTGAAATTCTAAAAAATTACAGATTTAGCTTCATTTCTTTGTCACGAAATACCTAAAAATACAGTTTTTGTATAATGCGCTCCACACGTCAGCAGATTGTGACTCTGACTCTGCATAATCAGCACCATAAATCCCAGTTTGCTTTTCTTGGACTTTTTCTTTGAGCAGCAGATTTTACACAACAACATAGTTTTTTACACCAGGTGCATCCTGTGTGTGTTATTTTCCCCCGTCAGAGTAAAGCCGGAGTGTTTGTGAGCATTCACCTGTCCCTGCTGCTGTTTTCTCCCTGTGTTTTGTGTTCGCTCTCCTCGTCTGATCTCTGGCTGTCGGAGCTGTGGCTGGTGTGCATCATCTCCTCCCTCTCCCCGCTCTCTATCTTCAGCTCCAGATTACCCTGAACTCCCACACCTCCTGTGGAACATCACAGAAATAAAATCAAACAGTGAAATCTTTTAATGGTTCAAAGTGTTGCAGGACTGCAGCAGAGGATAAATGAGTGGAAATAATTCACTTTTTACCTCCACCTTGCATGGGCTGAAGAACGGCCCTCTGCCTGGCAGGGTAGGGGTGGCCATTTTGTGTGCGGCCCTGGAAGGCTGCGTGGTTGTTGTTCATGACGACAGCTTCAACCTTTATGACACACAGAGAACGGGATGAGATAAGGGCAGGGTTTGTGTTCCTGAGTCTTGAGCACGTGAAATTTCTCTTAATGTTAAACGTGGTCGATGCAGCATCTCTGTAAATCTTTCTGAGACAGCGAGGCAGCCTCAGTCACATACAGTGCACAAACTCTTACATCCAACCAATGACAAACAAACCACAAAACCAACATCTGCCCTCTCATTTCCGACGTAACCCAGAGTAGATCTCTCGCTCTGCAGAATTAATTTAATCTCAGACAATCTTAATCTTTCCCTTAAAACTACCACATATACTCCCTAATTCTTTTCAGGAACGATTCACTCCTAAACCTGGTCACATCATTTGGAGAAAAAAATATATAAGTGAGAGAATTTAATACCCCCCTCCCCCAAAGGATTAGACTAAAAACCCCTTTCCCCTGCATATACTTCCACTCCAGCTGGGCTAAAATCCCCTTGGTCGGTTGAAAGGGAAACATGCTATAATGTGAATGCACGATACATCCGTCCCCCATCGGCCCACACAGAATTACGCCGCACACGCGCCATACAAGGGCGACACATCACAGCACTCTCCCATTGTGCTCAGTTTCCTATTTCAAGGACAACAACCTGAGGAAAAACATAGTGGGTGGAAAATTCATGAAACTGAATACCAGCATATATATTGTCCACACACACAACAAGGGGTTTCCATACAAACTACCCTGTCCTTCCTTAAAGGTAAAGATTTAGGTGAAAGGGAACTATTGGCAGAAATTTAATGCAAAATATTTCTCATGATGTTTTCACTAGTTCATTTTATCTAAATTGTATGAATTGTAGTTTTTTTAACCCCAGAAAAGGCCCTTTATATTTAAATACTTGATATTTACATCGAGGGGACCCTCTCTACGGAGGCCGCCATGTTTTTTACATTAGTCCAGACTGGACAAACTAAACACCTTATGAGTTTTTATGATAATTAAAGGCTTCCACAGGTTTTTTTTTCATGTTTGGAAGGAGAAGGTGAGGTGAGGGGTGTTCAGCTGCAACATGCAATTTCAACAGGAGATATCACAAAATTCTACACACTGTACCTTTAAATACTCAAGATTAAAAAGTAATGCTTGTTCACCATGGCTTGATTATGACAGGTGGAGTGCAGAGCGTTGGTGGAGCCCTGGTGGCTGTGGTGGTTCTGGTTCAGCAGGGCGTGGATGTCGGCGGGCAGACCGGACGTGGGGCCCACGGCGTGGTTCCTCAGAACGTGGATCACATCGTCCAGTCTGTCCAGACGGTCTTCCACCTGAGACTGCAAACACCAGGAGACAAAAGGTCAAAATGGCAATTTTGGGGGGATATTTGTCAATAAGGGCAAAATTTTTAAGATCCCATCAGTAAAAATGGGATATTTGGTTTTCAATTGTAGCTGCCCAAATTATTCTCCCAAACATAAGCAGCAGTATACTTCTAAGGTCACAATCCTTACTTTAATAAGCTCAAATAGCTGGGAAGTTTGGCTGGCAGGCAACCAGCCCTGTACACAAACACCTGTTTAACCTCAACATAACACAACAAGTCTATTAGTGAGATTCACAGGTGCTGATGATTGGATTTTCTTAAGTTGGACAAATTCATTTTGGCAGTTTCCTCTTATATGGCCTATCATAAGCTAAGCTAATTACTGGACAGAAAGGACAGTGGCCTGGATGTTCACTCTGCAAGACAGCAAATAATCATATCTTTTTAAATAGGGAAATATCCCTCCAGGAGTGTAAACTGAAAACATATGTGGAGGGTGCTTTTTAATTTCACTCCATTTTTCAGTCTCTGTTCTCGGAACTGGTATGATAAGCAAATATTATATAATATTATCTTTGCCAGGGAGGTCATATTTTCACCCCTGTCTGTTTGTTGGTTTATTTGTTGGTTTGTTTGTAAGCATGATTACAATAAATGATTAAATAGTATTAGTAAGATATTGGTAAAATGTGGAAATATTATTTCTTTATCAGCAAAATTTAGTCTGCACACTTAATGTGATGAAGTGGTTTGATAATCAAATATATATAATTACATTTGTTATATTAGTATTGTGTGGTCCATTTTTGAAATGTGTACACATGCTGGTGCATGTAAATGAACGTATATGTATGAGTGTGTTGGATGGTTCTGATGTGTGAAATGAGGTCTTCACCATTGATATAAGTGAAGACTCATAATGTGGTGACACTGGTGCCTGGACTGAACTCCGGGGCCACATGTTAGAACCTGGCAGGAAAAAAACAAAACAAAAATAGAGCATGAAGAGGCTGAGATACACAAAAATAAAAATAAACTTTATTACACTGTAGGCAGCACCTCCGGCTGCTTCCATCACTCCGGTTTACCTGCAGGTTCAGCTGTGTTGGGCAGTGGAGATGGAGTCCTCACTGGTGTGGATGAGCTGGAGGGGAAGCTGCTGCTGGTATGATCAGGGGAATAAATCTGGTGGGGGAGACAGGGAGGGAGAGAGAGAGGGGGAGGGGCGGGACCAGGTCATGCATCATTTTAAAAGCACAACTTGTCATTTCTGCGTAACGTTTTACAGCTGCTGCCACAGCCTTTGGAGCGGGATCGTAACCTGAGCTAAACTCATCAATTCTGGTCATTTTACAAGTCACCGGCTAATAAAAAAGTCCAGTAGCACAGAAGTAGCCCTTCGTTAATATGCTCTCGTCTGCTAGTGGCAGTGTTTCCCTTTTGGATTATACTACTGGGACTCTCACAGGCTTGGTTTTATGCCGTGGTCTGACTGTTTGAACATAACAAGACGTGGATGAGTCAGTCTATTGGGACCGAGGTGTTGCATACTTACAGAGGCCAGAGCTTTGCCCAAGGTAGCTCCTGTCTGTGACCCTCCTGATACGTTTCCCTGGCTCCCTGAGACTGGAGAAGAAAAACAATCATCATAAAACGGAAGAATTAACAGTCAAACCTGAGCTGAAACAAGCAGCGGAGATTATTTCCTCACCTGTTGAATTCTCTGAGGTGTTGATGGACGGGGTGCGTGGTGCTGTATTGTTGCGGTGAAATGTGGACATGGGTGGAAGACCCCTGTTCATATCAGCAGCCATCACTGAATGTGAGGAGTAGTCCTGAACCATAAGCAAACCCACAGTTAAATACACAGGGGACAACAAAAGATGCTGTGCTGTCAACATCCAAGGTCCTGGATGTAAATCTCACCAGGTGACTGTGTGGTGGCTGCAGGCTGCTGTAGCTCCCCGGCTGTGTTTGGTGGGTTGTGGCTGCTCCCAGTGCACCTTCATAGCCCTGCTGGTTCAGCCCATTTACAGCATTCCAGATGTCGGGCGAATTGCTCGTCCCCTCTAAAATGCATAACGATATGTTATAGCCTGCACAGGAACAGCATCTCAAGCAGCCAGTGCAGCCATGAAGCTCCACAGCCGCCTGTACAGAGACAATTAAGTCCCCCCACTTGTTGAATTAAAGCTAATGTTAAGCTTGTTCAGAAATAAAACAATGTTTGTTTCCTGCATTGATTTTATATTTGTCTGAAATGGCTGTCTGATATAACTGATGTGGCCATGTTGTTATCTCTGAAAATAAATGGTCTCTGTTTTAGAATGGTTGATGGATAATCGTGTCCATTTTGGATTCTCACCAAAGAAGGTGCTTGCGAACACATTGGTGGACATCTTGTTGGATGGATGTGAAGATAAGTTCTGATTGATGTCGTCATTAGTGGGAGACTGCCCGTACACCTAAAAAGAAAAATGTATTTAAGACAGTGTTGGAAAAAAATTATGTGTAATCAAACATTTTCTAACGTATATGTATGACTCAAACTGATCTTACTGACATAAACACGAGTGCTATGAGCACAGCCTGGAGCAACAGTATTACGAAAACAAAGCAGAGAGCTGATGCACACTTAGAGCTATTGCGATAATCCATAAGCTGCAGATCCATGCACCTCCTCATCCGGATTTAGGAACCATTCACCATGAGAAATCCCTGCCCTAATCATGATCAGGTTTGGCTGGCTTCAGAAGACTGGGATACAATTCCCTCCCAAATAAAATTGAATTACAGGCCTCCTCACGCTTTGCCCTCAGAGAGAAACCAAAACAGAGAACTGAGGCTCACCCTGATGTTCTCTCCTGCAGGAAACAAAATAAACAGATCAAAGGATTCCACTAAAGACACCTTCAGCTTATTTGTTTTCTTTTTCTTTTACGTGTAAGCGACAGGCTCCAAACTGCACATATGCACACGAAACCCACCAACACGTGCTCGCTCACTCAAACACACCAAGAGGTCTGGGCTGCACCTGCACCTCCCTCGATTGCTTTGATGTGCCCCAGGAAATGAAAATAAACCTCCCTGCGCAGCATCAATGGGGTGTCAGTTACCCAGACAACTTCTGTAAAGCAGGCTATTAAAGACTCTCTTGAGTATGCTCGTGCAAGCACACTCACAGGCTCTCTCTCCCTCGCACACACGCATGCACATGCACACACAAAGACACACGTACTTAAGCACACAAACACACACACACATGCAGCCATGACCCTGGCTGGCATGAGTCCCATGGTGATTGTGGGCTAGGCCAAACAGAGGAGCCCCTGCCGACACTGGGCCCGTCTGAGCCGCCATGGGCAGCATATGGCGGAGGATAAAGCCAATTGTCCTCCTTACCATCAGCATAGCAGGCGACCCGTTAATAATGGTCACACCCCCGCCCCAGCACGCCCTCTCTGGCCCCCGCTGGAGAGGGGCCGTCACCATGGTATCCTCTTTTAGCATAGCATTGATTTAAGAACCATCAATCATGGCATCACAAACGATAAGAGACTTTTTTTCCAGCAAATACAGAGCACAAATAAGAGAGAATTGAAATAGAATGAAACCTTCATATGGGCTTGAAATGATCATTTTAAACGTATGACCTTGAATTAACAAAGTCATTTTAAACTAAATGCACTTATAAACTTGTCTATAGAGAATACTACACTGTTTCCCCTTTGAAAACATACTCAGAATTATGATGCTCAAAGAGTGAAATATCAACTTGCTATTCAGGGCCTATGCTGTGCTCCACCACGGCCAACTCCAGCCACATGCAACCAATTTTCTGCCTCTGTGATCCACGATGTCTGGATATGGTTAGTCTCACAGAGATCAAAGCTGCCTTTGATAATGGCTGCAGTGGTGGAGGGACCGCTCTGACATAGCAGGGTTAAATCAAATAGAAATAGCAGCAATCTGCTTCATGTCAAGATGTTTCTGCTGCAAGGCCTGACTACACGGTGCCCGGACTAACAGGAAGCACGAGCCTGGCCACTGCATTTTAACATGAGTTTGTCAGACGTGAAACCACAAGTGAGGGAGGACTTGTAGTTTGATCTGGCTGAATTATGAGGTTATTGTGCGTGTTGTGGTTTAGGGTGGTGTGAGTTGAGAATAATTGTGATTCATAAATTATTGTAAACTCCAAGACAAACAATGGATGAAATGAAGTTGATGAGGAAATAAAAGAGCAAATAAAATAAGACAAACTAACATTTTTAACATTATAACAAGAACACAAACTCTTGTAGTTTAACATTAACTCCTGTGAGGTGCAAACACTGAGGATTTACACAAGAGTAAGCTATATACACAACTCATCATTATACATTCAGCACAATATATAGTCATGACACATTTAAAACACAAAGCTCTCTTTCGCCCACTGTCACACACACACAGACATGTTCGTACTTCTGTCTTAGTGAGGACATAATACTTAACCAAGACCCTAACCTTAACCTAATTCTAACTCTAACCCTAAAACCAAGTTTTAACCCTCAAACAGCCCATTGAAAAAGTGAGGATGTCCTCACTTTCCAAAAATGTCCTCACTCTGCAGGGTCTATGCTTAAAATGGTCCTCACAAAGAAGTACAAGAACAAAATTGAAGAGATATCCCTTATATCATATGTTCTGCACAGCCCAACTGTCTGAAGTGCATCCCTGCAGGTATAACCATGTGGCAAAATGTTAAATTATAAACTTTTACACTGGTTGCACACACAGATACATTTCTTTAATCATTTTGTATCACATTTGTCAGAAAACATAGTTGAACAAATAAATGTGGAAACTATTGAAGAATCATGTAAATCAGCACAACAAACACACACAACATCAGACTGGACCATTTCAGCAGCATCACCACTCACACTGACACTGTCATGCAAAATAAATTTAAATATGTAAATATACATATGAGGGATGTACTCACTGGTTTCACGTTGTAGCAATACATCAGGGAGTTGTTTCCTGTGCCAGAGGCAGGATGAGCACAGTACATAACTCTGTCTGGTTCAGTGCAAGACTCCAGGCTCACAGTACAGTCCACACACACCTCGTCTGTCCGTGTCTCTACTCATGTGTATATGGTCCACATGCACTAACCCTCCCCTGCTGGTCATGCAGCTACCCGCAGACAACTTATGCAAATCAGGGCTGGACCATTCCAGGCAGCAGAGAGGGGTAGCCAGGAGATGATGCTATTATTGTACTCACGAGAAGCCTGGTCCAGAATATGATGAGCATCCTTTTCCTTTAATTTAATCAGAGAAAAATCAGTACATTAGAGAAATAAATATAATGATTGGGATAAAGTGTGTGTTTGCAATTAAAAAGCCTGTTTGTGAAAAAAAGGTAACATCAAAATAATTTAAACTTGTAGTATTTAGGGAATTCCCCGACCAGGCTTGACCAAGCAGGATAATCACACCAGAAAAATAAATAAATAAATGTGGGGGTTTTGTTGTTGTTCAGGTGTCATCCCACTCCTGTGACATCCTATGTTAGTGTGAAATCATAAGTGAGCCCGCTCAGAGATGCCTCAGATGACGGGGTGATGTCATGGAGATTAGCTCCTGTTAGGCAGGTAAAGGTTTCCAGTAAACACGGGGATACCACACCCTGTCTGACCTACATTCACAAATAGACGCAAAGTCTTTAGTTTGAAGGCACGTGTGGCATGGCAAGCTCCTCCAGTGGCTGGGTCAAAGGTTATTTATACAGCAGACTGTCTGGGTGATCTGCTAATGGATTGCAGTCAAACTTCCTGTTTGTGGTCAAATCCACTGTCTGCCGTGCCAGGGCTGCAGTGACCTATAATAGTGCAAGTGCAGATGAACCACTTGCAGTTATTTTCTGAATTATAGCCTCAGTAACTGACTCCAGAAAGTCAACTGCTTAAACTTTTCATTCTGAAATACATTGTTCATTTTATCAGCTTCACAGATGGCACGTGTATTTTTCATGGTCCTCAGAAGTGCAGAGCCAAGTTTGATGCAATTTTGATGCAATATAAGTTCAATATTAATAAACTTTGACTAAACAGGTGACCAGCGCTCTGTAGCAGTCAATGGGGGCAGGGCAGTGTGCTGCTTTATATGAGTGGGATTACATAGCTTTTATTTTGAAAAGTTGTAAAATTGATTCTGAAGATTGTGTTAATTTGTGTAACAGACCTCTGAAATAGCCAACATGTAATGTATGAAAAACAACACAAATTAAGTTAATCAATCAAACATATATATAAACCACACACAGTAACAATAATAAAACAAATCAATATCATTTTGATGAAAAACATTGACAATGAAATCTTCACTGCAGATAAACCAGGTAGGACACAAAGTTTTCTAACTTCACTCTGCACCATAGACTGTTTTATAAAAAGCTCTACACACAACGTTCAGCATACAGACAATAACAAGTGACAGTATATTGTAGAACTGTTTGAGGGGGACTCACTAATGAGAAAGAATAATTCTGAAGAAGGATGGGTACTGCACTCGTGTACACAATGCAAGAAGTTGGCCCCACAATAATTGTGTAACAGCATCTGTACGTTAGATCAAGAGAAGGGGGACAAAAACAATGCACTTGGCACTTGCACGGTGTCCTGGCACGACACGTTGTCCTGGAGACACCTCACAAGAATCCAATCAAATAACTCCCAGTGAGGCAGCTGCAAAGTATTTATCTTAAACACATTGTCTTACTAACCCTCCAGTGTTTACTCTGAAGCTACAGGGGACTGGGTGCACTGCAGCCATCTTGGACTCTTTCCAATGCATCTATTTCAATTCAGATTCTCTGAGAAAATGCTTGTGCGTGTGACTTTCAATGCACAGTTTGAAATAGTCACTGTATGTTCATGGAGCTGAATTTGAGTGTATGTTTTACATTTGAAGAAGTGATGGCCAATCAATAATTAGACACTGCTAGAGAAGCATGGCCGTAAGTAGGAGATTAGTGTTTACAGAGGCAGTGATAAACTGATCTGAAAGAGAAACAAACTGCTGTCAACTGGTTTCAATCAGCATGAAGGTGAACTGTGAACACGCAGCTTACTTAAACTCTGAGTCTAATCCTGACTATTCATGCTACTGTTAACTGGGTTAGGAGGTCAGTCTCCTCATCCTCACCAGAACAATCAACAGTGTATGATTCCTTTTTTTAGAAATGTTGGTTGTTTAGAGAATAAAAATCAACTACATGCACATGTAAAATGATGCAGTCATAAATTTGTCATAATCACCTTATACGGGGATGAAAAAACTAGAATAACACATTTTGTGATTTGCATAGCTTTATTTAAAACTTAAACACAATGTCTTTCACTTTTAGTAACAATGGCTAAAATATGTTGTTTTTAATTGTATTTGCCGTCTTGCAACCCCTTCTCTGTGTCTCATGACCCCTACACTACCCCACATTGGGAACAAATGACATATTTCATTGTCTTCAGCTGAACATTAAAAAAGAGAAATCTGAATATAAATATATGTATATATTACAAATAATCTAGAAACATCAGTGGCTACTGAATGACCTTTTCTGCTGACAGAGATCAGTTCTCCTATCTGACACACTAAGCTTACACACACACACACACACACACATACACACACAGACACGCACATCTTGGCTAAATGATCCAAGAGCAAATATATACAGTTCCCTAACCCTGAACTTTGCATCAATCTTAGTTAATTGCAGTCTTGTCAGGAGTGCGATTATTCAAACAGGTAATGCAAATGTTAATGAGTTCAGATTTGCATATCTTTATTTTCCCATGGTTGAAATGTCATTGGTTATGGTGCTCTACAATGAAGAATGTCGCTGCTGATGGCCCCCTGATACGCCGCTGGCCATTAAGAGTCCAAAGAAAAGAAGCTGAACTGAAGGGGATGGAGCATAAATAAATAAGGAGTCACGCTCAAAATAAATTCAGGACGTTTATATGCAAATAAATAAAAACATATTCACGTAATCGCACCATCGGTGCAATCATTGGATTCAATTTTTTTGGAATATAATTTTTTGAGGTGCACAAATTCTGATTATATCCTGTAAGGGAAAAAGAAAATCTGTATTGCCGTGAGAGAGCAATAAGAACAAAACCAGAACCTCTTCGCAGTCTGAAGTCATGGTTGTGCTTTTATTGTGTGTTGTGCTGTTGTGCATACGATGCCTTCAACACACATCTGAAGTGCTGTTGGCATATTCCTCATCGTCATGCGCCTGATTTGACATGGCTTAAATAACTATCTTCCTGCCAGTGATTGGCATTCACACAAGAAGGGGTGAGTGGGACTGGGGAGCAGATGGTGACATTCCACATGACCAAACTGATCAATCAGCATGCTGGGACGCAGGTGCAGCACAGGCGGGCAGCACCACACCATCTATTTCACCATCTACGGGGCACAAATACACGGGCACCGATCTTGGCACCCTGAGGGCCTGCATGCTCCTCCGTCCCGCTGTGCCAAGGTTGATGACATCAGAATTTCCCCTCCGCTCTTCCACAGGATGCCAAGAAAAAGGAAGGAGGAGAAAAAAACACACACACACACACACGGCATAAAATCTGCAACAGAGCCCGGCCTGGGACAGGCTGTGTGAGTGACGTCAGAGCTAGGGACTCCCATATTTCACCCTGGTACTGAACTGAAAAGTCAAAGGAAAAAAACTGCATTTAAAGGCTGAAAAGACTGAAATGATGATCTGTACAGAAGACGCACTGGATACTTGACGTTCACTTATACATGACAGCTTATAACTTACAGTTGTACAGAAACGTGAAACTTCCTCCATGATTTTAAATACTGTTTAGTATTATTAATTCATCGTTTTCTATACCAACTGTTAATAACTGTCTATAAAAGGTCAGAAAATAAACACACGTGAGGATCTGCTGCCTTTTTTTCTTCATATGTGATGAAATACTGAACATATTGTGGTTTTTGGCACATTTTTTGTCAAAACAAGTCATTTGAATGCATCATCCTGGGCTATGGGCATATTTGATGATTTTATTTGGTTATATATGAATCTAGTATTTTTTGTATCATTGGTAATTGTTCTGTTGAGTAACTGTTCATAACTATCTAAAAAAATTAAGAAATAATATAACAATATAATTTCCCAATGCTCAGTCTGATTGATTCATAGAATTAGTTTTGTTTAAAAATCAATTCAAAACCATATTATCGTCAACATCCCATCACATATTAAGGAAAAAATTTCATTATTAACATTTCTATTTTAGTGTTTAGTGTGATTTAACATTTTAAAAGCCTTTTTATACAAAGACAGTAACATTGAAATAACCTTAACAGGAATTCCCCAGCCAGGCATGAACAATCTGATGAACACATCAGAAAACCCACAGGGAAACGCCTCCTTAGGACCAGCGAGCAGTGGTGACATCATGAAGAATAACTGTCAATAGATGTCACAAAATAAAAAAATAACCAATTGTTGGTTTGCCAGTTTTTAATTTCTAATGTAGTTGCAATACATAATTAATTGCTGATATTCTATTCACACAGAGTGTCAGTGAATGCATCTTAAAACCAAACGGGCCTACTCTACTCTCCTGTGGCCTATGTGTCCAGAGGTAAGTGGGTTGTGTGTGGTGTTTGATACCTGCTGGCGTGACTCTGAGGATCTACTGCTTCAGGATAAGACCTGCATAGTGAGCTGATCTTATAGTCTGGCCTGAGTGCTGGAAGAAGAAGAAGTAGGGGGGTAGTGTAAGAGGATTGGATCGGCTGTGGCTCAACGGTGCACGTGCGAGGCAGACTTGACGACCTCTGCACCACGGTGACCTCGCTGTCCCACATTCAGCAGCACCTATGAGGAGAAGGAGGGTGTGTTTTGGTCACTGTCAGTCTCATGTGCGACCTGATCACAGTTAATTAGTCTCTTCAAATGAAATTAAATGAAATCTAAATCTGAAACTCAGGAGAGCGTGTACCTCCTTCAAGGTCAAACACTCCTACACACGATTGTCTAGTTTTTAAAGTAGAAAAGACAAAGGGAAGTTGTTTAAGGATCTAAATGATCTAAAATCTGCCCCTTAGTC